ATTTACATCAAATCATTTAATAAACTAACAGCAGAACCTAAGAACAATGGTAAAAAATTTCTCTTTCTTGATTATCTGTCATGTTCAATGTTATTTAAATCACTTTTGATATTCCAGCAGTATCATGTACAATGGAATAGGTGCATTCAACTGGGATGTCTTTCCAATTGTGAAAACAAAATGATCTCAATGTGCTTGGTTTCCTTCCGTAGTGAAGGGATAAAAGTGATGGGATAAATTTATGAACATTAAACAGAAGATTTTAGGGTTTCATTTTTTTTATATCACCTTAATTATCAGGTTTACTAAAGTATATTATTGATAAAGTTTATCAGCTAATTTGAATTTTTGCGATAAATTAGAAAAAAATCGAACGCAAAGCACTTTTGTCTTATAAAAATAGTTTATTTCAGTTGGCTGACATAAATTGTTCAGCCTTTCCTAAAAATCGATAGGCTTCTATTACCTTTATTAACTAAATTTTGTGATCAGCCAAGAATGTAAACTGATCTTTTTTTTTCCGAAACTGAGCAATTTCAGTAGAGCAAATATGGCAGCTAACCATGAAAAGCTAATATTATTTTCAGAATCAGAACTATCTAATGTTTTGTTTCTTGTCTCCAAAAAACAATGTTGACCAGTGTAGTTAGTATATGGTGTATTGTAAAAGTTACATATTTTTGCAAAAACCAATTTCTTTGGTTTTGTTGTGTTACTTCAGCATTATATCAACTGGTTATTACCGAAATCTTCATAGATTCAAAGAAATTTTATGCCTTCAACTCCATATATTTTGTACATAATTTATGCTATTTGGGTAAACGTATCATTTATAGTCATGGAGTTTGTATATTGTCCATTGTTGCTGATGTTTACAAATGTCAAGTTCGAAAATATTATAGATATGTACATATGAATGATTTTCTGAAATTTTAACATTTTCTCTCCTATTTTAAAACATTTTTATTATTTTTTTTTGCATGGGATTCATTCGGAATTACATGCGCAAACATTTGAGATTAACCATTATTTGTCTTAAATTAACAGTAAATGGATGCATTATATATATATATGTGTCAATTGATTGTTTTATGAATGTCAAATACTTGCATCGAGGATTCTTCGTTAAAATCCAATATAAGAGAACTTCTTGACTATGAACGGAACAGATGTAGGGAAGGCAGGTGTTTTAAAAGAATATATATATATATATATATATGTGTGTGTGTGTGTGTGTGTGTGTGTGTGTGTGTGTGTGTGTGTGTGCAGCACCCTTTGGAAAGTGCCTGAAAATCATGCCATTGTTGACCTTGCTTTGTGTGTAAAATTGGGTAGACAGAACCCTTGGAGGCCGTCGATACAGTTCTAGCACGACGTCAGAAGTCATCGTGACCGAGGGTTTGAGTGTGCTGGCTTCGTTTAGATTGTTGATCACGCTAGATGTGTGTGTGTGTTTGTGTGCGTGTGTGTGCGTGTATATATATATATATATATATATATATATATATATATATATATATATATATCAGGTGTATCAACAACATTGTCCATTTCTTAGATTAAGCTTTGAATCGTTGTATCTTAGAAATGATTAAAGATATCTTACTGGAATTCTCCGAAGTTTTTATAGCACTATTGGACTCTACATTGAGCAATAAGAATGTATAATTACTCTTCAAGTATAACAGAAGAATCGTGATCAAAACGAACATAAGCGAATATGACATGTTCATCATTAATTAATCATTGCTAAGGATCGAATGCTTTTAATGCGCATTTTCTAATTCTTCCTCTCAACCCATATTCTTTCAACGAGAACTGGCCATTTTAACTGTAATTCTGCTTTTATAAGCCTACAACTGGAACTCAACGTACGTTCAATTTGCACTTGTTTCCGAAGTGAACATTTATCCAGGTTTATTCCTATTCGGAAACTAAGCTACTGTTGAGATAAATTAAATTTAAGCTATCGACTGTAACAAAAGCCTGTAGCTTCCTTAAAGCTAGATTATTTACATACAAATAACAGAGCGTTATAGTGGTCATATCTCGGTTAGGGATGAAAATCCTGTAGTTAGAACAACATTTTTCTAACAACAATACAATTAAGCTGATTAAATCGGAAGAAATAAATATTCAGTTGCCATCAATGAAATCTTACGGTAATAAAAATGGACGTGCTTAAGCGAGCAAGAATTCTAAATTAATAATCTTTATAAAGAGATGATTAAAAGAGATAATTTAAAGAGTTGCCAATATACTTAGCGGATACTAGATTAAATAATGAATTAAATACTGGATTAAGATTTAGATATTTTTTTATTAATTTTAAAAATAGCAATTAATTCAGTATTGCAACCGTAGCTAAACTGCGAATCCAGAGCTGAATGTAATTTTAAAAACTACGACATATGACCTCAAAGATATTGGATTTCAATACTGCTTTTACTATCCGATAATAGGCGATAACTAAAAAAAGGGAGATAATCTATGTCGCGAACTTAGATATTCGTTTCCCACCAAATAAAACGGATTGTTATGAATAATCAAGTGTGGCCTCCCCTTATTTTGTTACTCTCCTCTTTAAAAGAGCTATTTCTGTTTACTGAGACTATAAAATGACACTATACGTGAACCTTGTATTCTCAGTTGAATAAATCTTTCTTAAAGCCTAGACCTGCTTACTTTTGTCATTACATGGAGTATCAAAAAGACGGTTTATTCATTGACGCCGGTATTATTATAACTACCTTCACTCCTCGGCAGTAAAGACTGGAAAATATCGATTTGAAAGCTCGGGCCTAATTCTGGCAACAATAGTCTATTATTTGTCTAATCCGACTGCTGTAAGGTTAAAGCAGTGGTTTTCAACCAGGGCTCCACGGAACCCTAGCGTTCCGCCAGTAAAGCCCAGGGGTTTCGCAAGAAGTTACACAAGTACTATTGTTGCGGATATGTGATGTGCGTTGGAGAGGAATAGAAGGTTTGAATTATCAGGTTTGAATTATCAGAAGGCTTAAAATCGTGTGTGTTCAATAATCTTCCATCCACAACAATTAATACAAGAATGAGAATAAAGACTCATAACCATATTGTTTCAAAACGTAACAATTGAATTTATTAAGTATTTGATGTACAAGCATAAGAGCTGAAGGTGTGATAGTGCTATGTCTCTTAGATTTGGAAATATTTGTATTCGAGCTCATAAAGTGAAAGTAATTATTAAACTGTAGTTTAGAAGAATAAAATTTCTTTAGCATGTTTGGAATTGTGTATTGTACAAGTTAGTAAAAGTTCAGAAGAGATTTCAGAGTTCGTACTTGCGTGAATGTTGGTAATGGTCTTTAACGTCTGACCGCAAAGGTTAAGACGGGAGTTCTTGAAGATTACATCTTGGCAAATGAGACGCGAGAGAGAGAGAGAGAGATGAATGAAAAGAAACTCGAGGGAGTTTACACTTGTTCTGTTTTTATAATTTTGTTGTACCACGTGACTGGCTCAGATGGAAAACGCAGTAAAACAGGATATCTGATTGGTCAGTTCCGACCAATCAGATATCCGAGCTAGATTGAAGGTGATTAACCAATGGATGCTTGTTATATATTTGTAAGATGGTGTTGGTGAAAATTACAAGAGGAATAGTGCATTTCCTAGCAGGCGTTAACTGGCTTGTTGTGGAAGAGTCCACACTATGATTGACAGTAATTTTTAATTCTCCTGTGCAGATATTTGTGGAAATATCGTGTGTGTCTGTCAAAAACATGACCCAATATTAAAGATTTGTGCAAGAAACATCAGGCTCAAGTTTCTCATTGATTTTTTATTGAAAATAAATGTAATCGATTTAAACAGAAGTTTTTTTTTAATATATGTGTTAATAACCGTAGAAGCAAGATTAAAATTGCATATGGACGTATACAATATTTTTAAAGATTGTCTTTGTATTTTTTTCTGAATAAATCTGAAGATGAGTATTTTTATTTCATTTTAATAATTGAAAGTTTTTTTCTTTTGCATAAGACAATTAATTTATTGCAGGGGTTCCTCAAGCAACTGGAATGTTTCCTTGTGGTTCCGCTCCAGCAAAAAGGTTGAAAACCACTGCGTTAAAGTATAGCAGGATGAGTTTCGTAAATTCTAAGTACCGGAGCGAAGAGCTTATGCTAATAGTTACCATGAAAATATTCATGGAAAAGGCACGGGGAGGCAATATTACGGCGGTGTTTAAAATAACTAAAGCCGAGACGCCAGGCCAGAACAAATAATATTCCTGATTCTTGATTGTTTTTTATCAAGAATCTCTAAATAGCGGGTATTTGTATGAGAACAAGTTATGGGAACAGGCAATGAAAAAACGAGAATCCTGGACAATGCGATGTTTCCATTCTGTATGTTTCAGTGATTTGAGTTTAATCTTTTTACTTTGATTGTTAAAGCGCCCGTCTCAACCAAATTTCCTTTTTCAACGTCAAGCATTCAACACATTCACACATTAAAAACCTGATTTTTTAAAAAAATTCAATGAACTAATCTGAAGGCAAGAAATTGCAATTTGTCATACAGACGCAACACAGGTGATTATCAGTGAAAAGGAGAAAGCATTTCGATAATGGTTCCGGTAAAATTCCACCCCTAAAAATAAGCGTCAGCAATTTTTCAATAATAATCTGAATCATCATTTTTTCGTTACATCATCTTCTAGAAATGTTCATATCGCCACTGTTTTTTTGTTTTTTTAATATTCATTCTTTCTTTTTCTTTCATTTTGGTCGTCTTTTTCTGTTGCTTGGTGATGTCTTTTTAAGTCATATTTCTCCTTTTTTATTTTCACATTCTCCTCTTCCTCTTTCTCTTACTCCTCTTCTTTCTCTTATTCCTCCTCTTCCTCCTTCTCTTCCTCCTCCTCCTAATTTTCTTCCTTCTATTCTTCTTTCTCTTACACCTGCTCCCTCTTTGTGCCTTTTTCTTCTTTTTTCGAACATTTATGCTTCCTGTACATGCTCAGTGCAGAAAAATACTTCCAAAATATAACTTCTTTTTTCTTTTTCTTCTAATCCTCTTCCTTCTCCTCCATTTTCTTCTGTTGCAATTCCGCTGATTTCTCTTCTTCTTCCTCTTCTTAGTCCTCCTTCTTTTTCTTCTTCTCCTGCACCTTCAACTCCTTTTTCTTCTCATCATTCTCTTTCTTCTTCTTCTTGAAAATAAATCGAGCCGACTACTCCACTAAAAATGACGTTTGTAGTGATAAAATGTGTTGGATTATTAAAATAAAATAATCCCTTGCCTCTTTAAAAATGCTTTAAGTTTGGATACAAATCTGAACAGATGTGAAAAATGTCCAGGTATGGCACAAGGCAAAAAATACGGGGCACCTTTTGAAGATGGAACACATTACTGAGACGTAAGACAATCTTGTTAACCATTGCACTTATGATAAGCGGACATTAGTTACAGATTCGTGGAGAGTACGCATTATCTGGCGTGATCCACAGTCTGAACAAGGCCAGTACGCTAAAACCCTCGGTCACGATGACTTTTGATTTCGTGCTAGCACAATTATCAACGGCTTCCAAATAGTATCGAGTGAAATAACTAGATAACTGTAAGTATTAATTAAATAATTTCTCATCTTGTCGCCCTTGGACATCTCATCCAGCTTCGCGCTTTCCTGTCAACAATGGTCTGCAAAAAGTGCAACGTCAATCTTGGTCTGCCATTTTTAATCTTGTACATTTATTACCATTTCTCCTCAATAATATTTTCTCAACTTCTTTTACGCTCCGTAATTCCTTGAATGTTAGAAGCTTTATCGCCTTGCTTAGGGTGAAAATATATTTTACATTCAACTTGAAGGGACTTCACTTCATTTGCCAAAGTTAAATTGAAAATTCTATCAAAAAACATACCTGGTACGATGACAAAACGTTAATTATATATTAGCTATTATATTATAGTTAATGTGGACTATGTTCTGTGTATTTCTCTCGACAGCCTGGAGAAAAAAAGACTGCTTTTGAAACCTTGCCAGAGTAGTCAGTACCCTCCACAATACCTGGCTGACCATGATCTTGCATTATTTCCCCGTTTATCAATGATGCAGTATTCTTGCTGCAATTATGTCATGGTGTGGTTTCACAGTGGAGGTTTGTATTTGTACTAAGTCGGTCCTAAAATAGGTTCGACGTACAAAACGTTAGGAACTTGATACAATAGGTAATGACGCAGAGAAATCTAGTTGTGGTTGCTGATACTTTAGTATCCGACTCACGGTCGTCCGGCATCGACTGACTGGCCGAAGATATTCAGTCACCCCACCACGAGGGCACAAGTCCTTTTTAACGTGGGATCTCCGAGCCGTGAGCTCAGCCAAAAATATGCCCATTGAACCCGTATAAACGGGTTCAGGGTCGGTTTACTTCCCCGAAAGAGAATCCGCCCTTCGGCGTAGCCTCCCTCGGGTTCCTCCCCGCCCGAAGACAGAGAGTTCAACCGATCAGCCAGTCGACTGACAATATTCAGTCTCCCCCCCCCCACGGGGGCAACATGTGACACAAGGTCGGTTATTTATTGTGGGTTTACCCGAACCCGTGGGCTCGGCCCCAAAATATGCCCCTTTGAACCCGTATAAACGTGTTCAGGGTCGGTTTACCTCCCCGAAAGAGAATCCGCCCTTCGGCGTAGCCTCCTTCGGGTTCCTCTCCGTCCGAAGGCAGAAAGTTCAACCGATCAGCCAGTCGACTGACAATATTCAGTCACCCCCACCCCCACGAGGGTGTCATGTGGCACAAGGCCTTTTTAACGTGGGCATTCCCGAGCCATTAGGCTCGGCCAAAAAATACCCCATTTGAACCCGTATAAACGGGTTCAGGGCCGGTTTTACCTCCCCGAAGGAGACTCCGCCCTTTGGCGTAGCCTCCCTCGGGTTCCTCTCCGTCCGAAGACAGAGAGTTGAACCGATCAGCCAGTCGACTGACTGACGGAACCACTGAGCGACTCCTACTTATTATAGGTGGGAGAGTCTATTCACAATAGAATAGGTGTGTTCCACTCTAACAAATTACTTGAGCAAGCATCGAACCTTATGGTCTCTATTGCAACGTGAATAAGGCAGAATAATAAGACCTCCCCTAAACCATCCGAGTTGAAGTCACTCAATAATTCATCCATCAAATGAGATGAGGACTTCAAATATCTTGGATGTCACATCATAGTTTTCCAAAAGACATCATCATCCGCAAGGTTCTTGTATAGGATGCGTTTAACAAACTTCGCAAGATTTGATCCTTCCATCCTCCTTATAAGCCTAAATCTACTTAGAAAAAATCTAGGACATCAGTTGAGAATCCCATGAAAATCTTAACGCAGTTTATGGAGAACTGACGCCTATAACACAAATGAAAACGATTACTGGCCACTGTCACTGCATCCTTCCTCCTATGGCATCCTTCTGGAAGTGTGTTCTTGCGAAAATTGAATTTCCCAGACACCATAGCTTGGGACTCAGGTTTAGACATTGGGGATCTCGGGAGCGCAATGCAGGACCATCCTTACGGGGATGATGATGAGGAGGAGGAGGTTGATGATGATGATGATATATTACGTAAATTATTTTTAATAGTAAGTCTTATTTTTGGTTAGTTTTTATTTTTAGAATTATTTTGTTTCAAAAGTCTTCAATTTCATCCACTTCAAATCTGGTTTCTTTTCTTTTTTGTTTCTTTCTTTTATATGATTTCCTTTATTTCGTTCTTTTTTTCTTTCTGCCTTTCTTTAATTTTCCCTTCTTTCTTTCTTAAATTTTCTCTTCTTTCTTTCTTTCTTTCTTAAATTTTCTCTTCTTTCTATTTTTCTTTCTTTCTTTTTTTCTTTCTTTCTTTCTTCCTACCTTCTTTTCTTTCTTTCTTAAATGTTCTCTTCTTTCTTTCTTTTTACTTTCTTTCTTAAATTTTCGCTTCTTTCTTTTTTCTTTCTTTTTTAAATTTTCTCTTCTTTCTTTCTTTCTTTCTTTCTTTCTTTCTTTCTTTCTTTCACTTTCACTTCTTTCTTTCTTTCTTAAATGTTCTCTTCTTTCTTTCTTTCTTTTTCTTTCTTTCTTTCTTTTTTCTTAAATTTTCTCTTCTTTCTTTCTTTTTATTTCTTTTTTCTTTCTTTCTTTCTTAAATTTTCTCTTTTTTTTCTTTTTTTATTTCTTTTTTCTTTCTTTCTTTCTTAAAATTTCTCTGCTTTCTTTCTTACATTTTCTCTTCTTTCTTTTCTTCATATTCTATTATTGTTCTTTCTGTCTTTATTTTTTTTCTTTGCCTATTTCTTTCTTACTGTCCGACTTTCTTTCAGTCTTTCTTTTATTTTCTCTGATTTTATTCCTTTCTATTTTCTTATTATCTTTCTTTAAGGTTTTCTTTTGACTTTCATATTCTGTTTATTTATTTATTTCACTTTTTTCTTCACATGATTATTTCTTTTTGTCTTTCTTTTGTTTTGTTTTACTTTATGTTTTTCTTTTACTTTGTCTTACTTTAATTCTTTTATTCTTTCTTTCTCTCTTTCCTCCTTCCTTCTTTCTTTCTTTTTTAATTTCTTAATTTCTTTAATTATATTTTCCCTTTCTTCATTTCTTTTTGTATTCGCGTTTCTTTCTTTATTAAGATTTTTTGTTTTATCTTTCTTTCATCCTTTCCTTTCTTTCTTTCTTTCTTCCTTTCTTTCTTTCTTTCTTTCTTTCTTTCTTTCTTTCTTTCTGTTCATCCACCTCTCTTTACTTCTGTTTCTCACTCGTTCCTCTCTTGCCTCATGCTTTTATATTCTCTTTTTTACCTTCTTTTCGTTATCAAAAACTAACGTACTGCAGTACAAATGTAACCAGTTCAGTATAAGACTTTGCAGATAAAAACACTTGCATGACCCGAAGAAAAATAGGACGAGAACCCCCCCCTCAAAAAAAGTAAAATAAAAGAATGCGAAAGTTTGGCAATAATTGTTCTTGATTTCAAAGAATTTTTTCGGTTCACTTTTCACATGAACACCGTAATAATTATCTTTGCATTTCCAAAACTTTCTAAACTTTCATTTCATAATTTTCTGAAAAGTACTAACGTAAATAATATTTGTAAGTATAGCTACAAGGGAATAGGTTGAACACATATTTTGTATATTTTTATGTAAACAAAAGACCCCCGCAAAAGTGATACATAGATATTTCTCTCTCTCTTTTTCTTTCTCTCTCTCTCTCTCTCTCTCTCTCTATATATATATATATATATATATATATGTGTGTGTGTGTGTGTTTGTGTGTGTCTGTGTGTTTTGTGTGTGTTTCTGTGTGCGTCTTTGTGCATGTGTATATGCGCTTATGAATTAATCTGTCTCTGTGTAGAAAGAATGGTCCACGTACCCTCAAAGACAAAGATAAACTTACTTTCAATAAAAGTTTACTTTAGTTTGAAAACCATTATTAAGTGGTTGTTTTATACTATAATGTCATACAATGACACACACACACACACACACACACACACACACATATATATATATATATATATATATATATATATATATATATATATATATATATATATATATACATATATGTAGAGCAGAGACTCCCACGTAGACATGCCTATGTGAGTTTTATTACATATATATATGTTGCTGCAAATATCTGTCATATAACTTTTTTAAATTGTACTTATACATACTCTTTAAAAGTTTTACTCTTAATTTAATATATATATATATATATATATATATATATATATATATATATATATATAAATACTTCAGCATCATGTATACCTACATATGTATATTAATATATACATATGAATATATCTATATATAATTTTGCAAAAGTTCAAATATGCCTTCATTGTTAATAACTTTTATTACATATTAACATAAATCATATATACATATATATATAAATATATATATATATATATATATATATATATATATGTACGTATGCAAATGACATACAATGTTTTCCTTAGAGCCATATGGGGGTTTCATTTCAAGTCCCCATAATTAAGATTCCGCTGCAGAAAAAATACTAAAATTCCCGAATTTCGGTGATATTCCCAGCGACAGTTCCATTAAATAACAACGACCCCAGTATTAACAACCCTAGCCCTAACCCTGCCTTACATATACTTCGTAAAGTCATATGTCTTTGTTCTAAAAAGCCACCCCTGCAATTATTATCATTAGTGATTTTTTTTTCTAAATATCCTTATTCATAAAATCCGAATTGTTTACTTGAAGATATGGTTATTAAATAATTTTCTTTTGGCATATCTCGTCTTTTGTTTTTACAATAATGAAAAAAGGCTACCAGCTATTCATATGGGAACTGCATTCTTAAATACGTTCACACACACACACAAACATACACACATGTGTTTGGTAGTGTGTGTATGTGTGAGTGTGTACAAGTTAAATATAGGTCTGTATATAGAAGTAGATATGTTTAAGTAATTTTTTATCTGTTCTGTCGTTCCCCTTGCAATTGTCAATTTGTAATTTTCCGTAAACTTTTTACTCAATTTCCCTCGCTCTTTCAACCCCCCCATATATATATATATATATATATATATATATATATATATATATATATATATATAATTTATATATAAATCTGTATATAGGTGTAGATATATTTAAATAATTTTTTTTCATCTATTTTACTTGCTCAACATTGGAATTGTTAATTTTTTGATTATCTGTAAACTTTTACCTAAAAGTTACGCGTCTTTCCCTTTTTCTCTCTCTTTTCTCTCTCGCTCTCTCTCTCTTAGACACACAGACACACACGCACGCACACACACACACACACACACACACACACACACACATATATATATATATATATATATATATATATATATATATATATATATATATATATATATATATGATGGCTAAATGTATAGCCGAAAGCGATCGGACATACATTTGGACAATTTCTTCATAATTTGCGTCCCAAAAAGTAGTTTTTTATCAACTGATTTAATATATATATATATATATATATATATATATATATATATATATATATATATAAAGAGAAGTTTCTGCCTAAATACAAACACACACACGCACACAGATATATATATATATATATTTTTTTTTCCTACTAATAAATATAGATTTTGTTCCTCGGCGTTAGCACATCTGTGAGTTTCATTCACGAGGCTATCGTCAGGTACTGTTTGAAAAGTGACTATTGTAAAATTTAAAAAAATTAAGATAGTGGAGCAGTCCATAGTAGAGCTACATACTCTTAAATATATCCAAATCCAAATATAAATATGTTATTCATATGACAAAAATATGGTTTAAGGTATGATATATTAAATTGCTCAGTAATGACCGAACGTGTGTTAATATGAATGTGTACAAATTGCTCAACATCATTAAGTTGCGATAGTCTGTTTTATGCATGAATGCAATCGTCGATGTGTGTGACACATGGCCTGATGATTGGTTTTAACCATGAAAGAGACTGGTGTTGACCTTAATGTCTACTACATACATACATACATACATATATATATATATATATATATATATATATATATATATATATATATATTATTCAAAATAACAAACAACAAATGTCCATTGTTAATTATCATGAGCCGTTCTAAACATCGTACAGTGACTTTAGTTTCTGGAGAATATGAAGACAAAAACTGCACAACATGACTAGGTAAGATTAAAAAATGTTATCAACAGAACCATATGTTTAGGTCGATATGTCTCTCTATCTATGTTTAATATTTAAGCAATTCACCACAAGCAAGGCGGGAGTGCCAGTATCACGCAAGGCGTTACACAGAGTGGGAGCGAGATTAAAGAACCGTGATAAATGAAAGGATAAATACTAGGACAGGGAATAGATCAAGGCATCTGGAGATACCGATAGACGTTACATTTGAATATTTGGAGATCATAGCTATCAGAGAAGCAAGTAAGAGGAAGGGAGTTTCACAGACAGGAAGTGCAAGACATGAAACTATTGAAGTAGAAGAGACGGTTACATTTAACGGTTTCAAAAGTGAAGGGGTGGGACTGAGATACCAACCGATTAGCTCGTTTAAATACATGCAATTTGGGAACTAGCGAAAGCAGCTTGCCGGTGCAGTTACCATGAAAGTATTTATAGAAAAGACAGAGGGAAGCGACCAATCCCATTGCAGATCTGTCTGTGGATTTTGTCGAAGACCTTAAGACGAACAGTGGGGTCATCAGATCATATATGGCAGCAATATTCCAAGCAAGGACGAATGGATGATTTATAGATTTGAAAGATGGAGTCGGGCGAGAAAAACTTTCCTTGCAGTGGATAAAGCTATAGATTCAATGTATTTGTTCCATCTCAGGTCAGCGGAGAGTATGAGAACAGTATGAGAACGTGGAGTTGAGCATCAAATTTTCTAATCTAACTATTTTATTTTAAGCATTTCACCCCAAGCAAGGCGGGGAGCCACTAGGACGCAAGGGGTTACAGACAATTTAGAGCAAGATCAGATAGGAGAGATAGATGAAAGGATGATGAGGAGGATAGTGGAAAGATCAAGGCAACTAGAGATGTCGATTGACATTACACTTGAATAGCTGGAGATTGTAGCTCTCAAGGAAACTGGAATAGGGAAGGGAGTTCCACAGGTGAGAGGTGCGAGACATGAAGCTATCGGAGTAGAAGAGAGGGATACATTTAGGTGTTTCGACAGTGAAGGGTGAGAGCGTGATGCCAGCCTCGTAAGGCGCTGGAACTCATCACGTCTGGGAACCAGCGAATGCAGCTCCTCGGAGCAATTTCCATGAAAGTATTTGTAGAACAGACAGAGGGAGGCGACGGCGCGTCTGTGGGAATGTGACTGTAGACGAGACGCCAGGGCAGGGCCAACTACATTGCATATCCGCCTCTGGAGCCTATCAAGAACCCCGAGGCAAACAGAAGGGGCACCAGACCATATATGGCAGCAATACTCCATGCAAGGCCGAATTGTTGATTTGTAGATCTGGAGGATCGACTCCGGGGAGAAAAACTTCCTGGCGCAGCTCAGGGAGCCAACTTTCCTTGCGGTGGACGAAGCAATTGACTCAATGTATTTATTCCATCTCAGGTCAGCAGAATAAATTGTGGTGTCATCCGAGTAGATGCCAACTTGGGAAGTTATGGTGTCAGGAAGGTCATTCATGTAGATAAGGAATAGAGTGGGGCCTAGGATGGAGCCTTGAGTGACACCTGCGTTCGTGGGATAGGAACTGGATGAGAAACCGTTGAGAACGACCTTCAATTCACGGTTTGACAGGAATGATTGTATTAGGTTATACAATCGACCCGTAATGACATAACCCTGGAGCTTGCAAAGGCCGGCATGCCAAACCCTATGAAATGCTTTGGAGATGTCTAGTGCCACGGCTCGGGCTTCCCCGTTATTTTGAAGAGCTCAGTAGACAGTTTCAGTGATGGCCGTAAACACATCAGCTGTAGATCGGGCAAAGCGGAAACCATATTGCTTGTCTGAGAGCAGATTATGGGATGTGAGGTGGTTAACCACCTCGGTATTGATTAGGGCTTCGAAGACTTTGTCGAAGAGGGGAAGGAGACTGATTGGACGGTAGTTGGAAGAGTCAGAGGGGTCGCCGGAGTTCTTGAAGACAGGAACACTCGAAGAGGACTTCCAGCAGTCAGGAAAACAAGATTCCTTGAGGCAGTAGTTGTATAGTTTACAAAGGGCGGGCGCCAATTCAGGCGCGCACTTCTTCAAGACAATGGCTGGTATCCCGTCTCCACCACTAGCCTTGTTGGGGTCTAAATTGGAGATAACGCCCAATACCTGAGACGGGGTTATGTTTAACCCACTCAATAGGGCCTCAGTTCTAAGAGGGAAGTCCGGTATGGGTACACCGTAAGAGTCGAGCGTCGAGTTGACTGAAAATTTCCGAGCAAACATTCAGCCTTGTCGGTAGAGGAGGTCAGGACTTCGAACTGGTTGAATAAAGGAGGTATAGAGGGTTTGCAATTGTTCAATACGCTCTTGCAGAGACGCCAATAATCTTTGGAGCCAAATTTGCGAGATGCAATACGCTCCTTCATCCGAGCCGCAAATAGTGACTTAGCATCGTCAAGGACACGCTTACACTCGTTACGGGCGGAGGCAAAGAGACGTCTATTGCAGTCAGAGATGTCGCTACGGAATTGGTGGAAGTAATGGTTCCTATGGGCGATGGAGGCTGAGCAAGCATCGGAGAACCAGGGTGGGGGGGTGCGACTTGACCCTATATTTCCTTGATGGGATGAAAGTGTCGATTCCAGCTTTAACCCAGGATGAGACCTCAGGAGCACATTTTTAGACGGGGAGCGTAAAAACTCCATCCCAGGGGACATAGCGGAGGAAATCACGGAACGCGTCCCAGTCAGCTCGTTGATAGTAGAACAAACTTCTAGTTGTAGGAGGTTCTTTATAGGGGGTGGAGTTGAAGAAGATGTTAACCGATACTACCGCATGATCAGAGTTACCAAGAGGGCAGAGTTGCGAGGCGCTGCAGGACTCGGGGATGGAGGTAAAACACAGGTCGAGAAGAGAGGCTTTACCTTCCCGTTGAAGGCATATATCTATCTATCTATCTATCTATCTATCTACCTATCCGTATATATTAGGATTGCACAAATGTGTCATTTATATCTATCTATCTATCTATCTATCTCAACCAACACATGTATATATTAGGATTCCACCTATCTATCTATCTATCTATCTATCTATCTATCTATCTATCTATCTATCTCAACCAACACATGTATATATTAGGATTCCACCTATCTATCTATCTATCTATCTATCTATCTATCTATCTCAACCAACACATGTATATATTAGGATTTCACCTATCTATCTATCTATCTATCTCAACCAATACATGTATATATAGGATTCCACAAATGTGTCATTTATATCTATCTATCTATCTATCTATCTATCTATCTTTTAATTTATTAACGAAGTCTGACATGCATATTAGTATTATATTGTGCCAGTGATCTTATCGTGAAAGGATGTGTATAGCAGATGTAAGCTGAAATCCATGGACGTGAACAGACGATACTTTACGAACGATGAAATGGAAAAAGAAAAAGGTGCCGTCGATCAACGACAAGAAATTGCTGAGTGGCTGGGAAAAGATGACCAGAATATTCTATTAATTAATTTAGCGCGCGCACACACACACACACACACACACACACACACACACACACACACACGGAAAGAGAGAGGTAAGAAGAAAGGAGTCGGCGTCTCGAAAATGCGATAAAAGATCATTGAAAATTGAACGAAATCTAAATGCGGAAGAATCAGGCCAAGTAAATATCTAAATAAATAAAAAGAATGAAAAGAAAGAAGAATAACGTAAAGGAAGAATGAAATATAAAGAAGAAAATTCTGAATAATAATAATGAAAGAAAAAATATGAAATATGAAAGAGAAATAAACTAAGAATGAATAACGAGGAAATGAAAAATGAAAGAAAAAAAAAGAAATATGAAAGAAAGTTAATCTCTGTGAGTAAAATGAAGAATATAATTGCATTAAACCTCCAAGAGAATTAATCCTTAAACCTTCACTTGTTAACCGTTTCCGTTGACATCAAGTGACAATATTCTATAGAATCAATTGCCAGATCTGCTGTTAGGAAGATTCGTTTACTGTGTCGTGTGAAACGATTTTTCTCTCCGCAAAACCATATTTATAAAACTACTAATTCGTCCATGCATAGTATGTTTCAATCAAATCTGATCTGAGTCTTCTGCTATATATTTAGAGATTCTTGATGAAATCCAAAGAAAATAGGCAACGTTATTCCTCCCGAACTAGCCTTCGTTTTCAGTATTTTTCCTACAGCTGTAACATTGATTCTCTCTCTATGCATTTCTATTACTATTTTCATGGAGCTTTCCTCTCTGGTACTTAGACTTTATGAATTTAATTAAGCTCAGACTCAGTGTCATAAAAACGTCAGAATACTGTTGAAAAACAGGTAACGAATGATGTAAAATTCAGGAAGAATTTCTGCAAAAACCCTACGTGAAAAGAATAACAGTTCAAAAACTAAGTTGTTTGGGCAGAACGAAAATTGTCTGTAAAAATCGAAATGACAGCGAATCAGAAAAAAATCAGGAAAGAATTTCAAGCAAATTTTCTCAATCCCTAAATATAAAACTTTTTTTGCCACTTTTTACAGTTAAAATTCCTAGCTGTAACCGCAAGTTCTATGCTAATAGTTCCTTCTCTCGCACTTAGCGATTGTGGAACGCCCTTACAGTTCCTTGCTTTTTAGACAAACTTGACATCCAAAACTTTAAATGCAGTGTCAATCGTGATCTTCTGTCTTTTGTTATTTTATTTTTCTCTCTCCTTATTAGTGTTTTTTTTCTCTCATATACTCTCACACTCATTACAACCAACTTCTTAGCGGCTCTATTGCCTTTCTTAGGGTGAAATGATTCAAAATACAGGGTATCTATAAGGCCTTTTTAAAATTTAAAGAAAATATGACAAAAGCAAATTAAGGAACAAATATCTGGAAATCATTACAACATGAGGAGTAGATATTGAAGTATTTTTAACTAATTTAATCCATCATTATATGGGGTACCATTAGTTGCACAAAGCACATCAAGATGGTACTCGATACCTTGTCATGTTTGCTGTATCAATGGTGGTAATGGCATCAATGATCTTTTGCATTACATAAGTTATGTCCCGAATCTTTGTTCGATGCACAATATATTTAATATAAATCCTTGGAAATGATATCTGGTGAACGAGGTGGTCAGGGAACTGGGCTATCTCTTCGAATACCAAATGTTAGGGATTCTTTTATCAGTATTTCTTTCATCATTAGGATACCTGAAATACACAAATGCAATGTGATTAAAACATAGCCGACAACTCAGTACATAGAACAAATCTGTTATATCATCAATTGCTTTTGTAATATATGTTTTAATTGCAAAAAGACTTTATGGACACTCTATAATTATACCTTCACACACACACAAGCACGCATATATATATATATATATATAATATATATATATATATATATATATATATATATATATATATATATATATATATGTGTGTGTGTGTGTGTGTGTGTGTGTGTGTGTGTGTGTGTAAGTAATTCATGCTATTTAGCTGATTGATGTTACTTTCAGAGTTTCATAAGCGGACCTTTCCGTCCATTATTCAGGGCTTATCAGCAATTTAATGCGTATATATATATATATATATATATATATATATATATATATATATATATATATATATAAAGTAACGGAAATCTTGGTAATCCGTATGGATAATCCAATGATGATGAAATCCTGAATTAGGTCAGAGCGAATAATTTAATTTAAAGAAAAACAGACCACTTTAAGGCTCCATTAGTTATAATTTATTTCACCAGAGAATTTTATTTTTCTCTGGATCCAGACAAAAATAAAATTCTCTGTTGAAATAAATTACAACTAATGGAGCCTTAAAGTGGTCAGTTTTTATTTAAATTAAATTCAGATTACCAACACACAAACAGAAAATGTCTCATATCGAGAATATTTAACATTGAACATGAGGAAAAATTAATTATTTTTAATAATATGTGGAAATCTCCACTTTTACCTGAAGACGGTCGCGAGACCAGAAACACGTCTCTTAAAATTATGTAAAACAAAGCATATTTTTTTCTAAATAAATCCACATTACAACCAAAAAACGTTTGCGGCACCTCTCTTCTCTTCTTTTTAATATACATACTTTTCTCTCGTTGGGACCACTACATTATATTTCTATTATTATATATATATATATATATATATATATATATATATATATATATAACACATATTTTTATATATAACAGACATTGAATGTCTATCCTGATTGATCATGAGCCGTTCTAATTTTCGAATGTTTGCTTTAATTTCTGGTGAAAATAAAGACAAAAATAGTCCAACAGTTGAATATATTTTTATTATTTTTATTACGTTGTTCCTAAGCTTCGGCACGTAATAGACATTCATTGACAGTTATATTTAAATATATATGTTCAAATAAATATCTGCTGCCCCAATACACTTGTTGGTGTAGAATAATGTTGGTGTTAAAATATTTAAATAAATTGTAGTTTCATTTTGAATTAGAATTTAGAAACAGATTAAAATTTAAGATTGAAATTATAGTTGAAATAAGATATATAAATTCGAATTTAGAGAGACGCTGATTTTGGAAACGTAAGAAAACAAGAAGAGACATTGGAATATCAAGGGAGGTAAATCAATTTTTTCGAAAATCAAAGTAACAGAGCTCATCAACATATATATATATATATATATATATATATATATATATATATATATATATATATCATATATATATATATAGTATCAGACATTAATTGCACAAGTCCAAGTTTCATGTCGAAGCAATTTTCCAGTAGTAGAATTTTTTTTTTTTTCATTTTTGGGTTGACACCGGGTCTGTTTGCTCTCGCCTGATACTTTATTGTTTGGGTGGAATATTACTGTTGTTAAAGTATTTAATTGAATTGTAGTTTAATTTTGAATTTGAATTTAGTCCCAGATTAACATTTAAGAATGAAAATAAGGTTGGAAATAAGAAATAAATATTCTAATTTAGAGAGACGCCGATCTTGAAAACGTCAGTAAACAAGAAGAGACACTGGAAAATCAAGAGGGTAACTCTATTTTTTCCGAAAATCAAAAGAGTAACTGATAATAATTAATAATACCGGATTCGGTTATATATATATATATATATATATATATATATATATATCATAAAGTTAACAAACTTGTTATCATGCAATTCAAGTGGATCCTAGTAATATAAAGTAATAAAACTCCACCACAAAAAAAGCTCAATGTGTTTATTTACAGAGCAATATAACTACAGGGTAACCCTGATATAAGAGACCCGAATATAAGATAAACCCGGATATAAGAGAGATTTTCTCTGGTCCCAAAGTGTTCCCATACTTACCTAAACAAAATAGAGCAAACCCGGATATAAGAGAAACCCGGATATAAGAGACTTCTTTTCCGGTCCCGACAACTCTCTTATATCCGGGTTACACTGTAGTACAAAATAAAATCCAGTATCACATCATATGGGAAATAGTTTCTTTCGACAGACGAGATATCGGCCGTGTCATATCACACCCGTTGTGGACAGAGTTCGTCTCTCTCTCTCTCTCTCTCTCTCTCTCTCTCTCTCTCCCCCTATATATATATATATATATATATATATATATATATATATATATATATATATATATAAAGTATATTATATTATTTCTTTCGAACATATTGAATATATATGTAATATATTTCGAATATATATATCCTATCATATATATATATATATATATATATATATATATATATATATGCTTTTATAGGATATTACATTCAAATATATGCGTTACATATAGCGCTTGCATATGTTCGAATGAAATATCCTATAATAAAGGATTATTACTCTAGTTCTGTATTGAGCCCGATATTTAAATTAATGTTATGAACGTCTGAATGTTATTTGATTCGTTCTTATTTCATTTGTATATATATATATATATATATATATATAGATAGATAGATAGATAGATAGATAGATAGATAGATAGATAGAATATAAAGATGAAGAGAGAAGAAAGGACGCGGAAATAATATGTTAAAATACTAAATAAACCCCGAAAGAAGTTAAGAAAGAAAGAAAGAAAGAAAGAAAAAAGAAAGAAAGAAAGAAAGAAAGAAAGAAAGAAAGAAAGAAAGTAAGAAAGAAAGAAAGAAAAAAGAACAATTAACAAAGAAATGAGAAAGTTTAATTGGTGGGAAGGAAAAGAAAGTATATATTGATGAAGAAAGAAGAAAGAAAGAAGGAACAAGTGAGAAAGAAAGAAAGAAAGAAAGAAAG